AACCTTGTAAAAACATCAAAATGCATAATAAATCAGTAAACCGTCATTTACTAATTCATTATTGATCTTAGTTTCTTAGCTTTATATAATGGTTGGGAATAAGATAATAGTCTAGAAATATGTATTAATGCTTTTTTATCATTTCACAAAATATCATTGCATATTTCCACATATTTCATAATATTTCCACAATGTCTCTAATTTTTACAATATTTCCCCTCAACATTTCCGACATTTCCAACATATGTCCTATATTTTGGTAAGCGACATTTCTATCGACATCGACATTTTAAACCTTGGTTTCAAAAGCATAAGCTCCTTTAGGCACCACATAGGACAAGTGAAGTAGGAATGCCCCCTGGTTCAAGAAAGTCATTTTGACATTTCTTCCAACACTGCCTATGTGTGAAACCTGATGGAAAAATGTAGTGTTCCTGTTTCACGTTGAATCTGCTATATCAAATACACTTTTTGAACAAACAGTGCCTATATTTCACTAATCATTAATAGATGTAATGTTCTGAAAACATTCCAAAATCTTCGGAAATTTCTAAATCTGGTATGTGGATAAAGTAGAAAATTGTGAATCCATGATTCTCTCTCTTTACCAGCAAAATTCTTTGCCACTCTAAGTAACAGAATATTATATAAATGTTAGAGCAATTATATCTTTGGAACGACCAATTTTAAATATTTATTTAATAATGAAAATACTGCAGTCAAGGAATTGTAATCACCATTTATATACATACTATGCTCCTAGAATGCTCAAAATCTTTGAAACTTTCTACATTTGCAACTGTAACAATCAACTTTCCCAGCCTCAGTGTTGCTCCTGCTCCGATCTCTGATTACTTAGATTGGAACATATAAACAAAGCAGAACTTATCCAGTCTTAAGTTAAACTTCCACAACTTTTGTTCAAATTAAAGCCAGTCTCATTTTTTTGGGTAAAGAAAAAAAAATACAAGAAAGGTTACTAGAACTCATTTAAGAGAAGAAACAGAAAAAAACCCTTCACACGCCACAAACTGCAACTCCAAATGCTGAACATGAACCAAAATTGAATACAAACCCAAACAAGAATCCAAAAAAACAAGACAAAATTTGAAATCTTACCTTCCACTCCAAATACACACTACCTACCCAAAATCACAAGACTCCACACCCCTAACCAACAACAAAAAACACTAAACTCCAACTTAACACCTCACAAAAAAAAAAAAAAAAAATGATTAGCAACAGATATATATTTATATTAAAGCAAGCAGGCTACAGCCCCCACCATTCAAACAAGATGGGATCTGCTCCTCACATGCACACCCACCGTGCATTGGGAACATCTCCCATGAATAATAACTTAAAAGTACGGGAGATGTTCCCAATGCTTGGTAGGATGTGCTTGTGAGGCGTGTGTGAGGCGCCTTCTGTGAGGAGCAGATCCGGTCTCCATTCAAACATGTGGCTTTTTCAAATTTAGACACATGGCATTTTCTGAGAAATGCTGTTAAAGTCCACAGCCCACTACCACCATTCAGACAAGTGGCCTTCTCATTTTCTAGAAAGCTAGACACATGGCAATTTCTAAGAAATTCCTGCTAAAGCCCACAACCCACTACCAGGCTATAGCCCCCCACCATTCGGACATATGGCCTTCTCATTTTTCTGGAAAGCTAGACACATGGCATTTTCTAAGAAGTTGCTGCTAAAGCCCACAACCCACTACCACCATTTTCAATTCATTCCTAAAAAATGCAAAAAATGCAAAAATGGTTATCCACAACCACTTCTGCCTACATTCTATCAATCTCAATTAATCATTAACCCTCTACGTATCATAACAAAAGAAAACTATCCATATTCTAATAATTATTGAAAAGCCATTTTTTGAAATAAATATTTCTTGAAATTTAATAATTATTTAAAATATTAAAATATAAATTTAACATTATTGATTTCATAATGTAAATTTAACATTACTGATTCCCCGTACTTAGTACGGGGTCATTCACTAGTTTATTAATAAAGAGATAAAGTTACATCATTTAGCTAACAAAAAGCTATAACTTTTAGTTTTACAAGTTAGCCCAGAAACATTGTACCCCTTGCTTTGCCAAGTGATCAGCTAAAGTGTTGGCTGATCTTGGGACCCATTGAAAAACCAATTGCATATCCCTTGATAGGCTGCTAAACTGTTTGATTTCATTTTTGAAGCATTGAGGAATCTTCTCAGTTTTATTTTTTTCTGCCAGCTTATAATAACTTTAGTCTCCTTCAACTATCAGCTTCCATGCCCCTAACTCCACCGCTTTTTGACACTTCACAAACTTTGCTCAATTACTCAGCTGCTCCAGTGGCTTGAATGGGAACTTTGCTCCTCTTGCAGACCTTTACTTTTTTCACCTTCGCCTTTTCAATCTGAAGAAAACTTTCAAAACCTGAACAGTTCTGATGTTTTTTTAACTTGTAAAAATGTCTTACTACAATAGGAATCTTCTCAAGAACCTTTTTTTATCGAGAGAAGGGTAACTTTCATTCAAACAAAAAAGGAAGGGATCCTTAGATCTAACATTGATCCTTTTAACTCTAAGACCACGTTCTTTTCAAAGGTCTGATCCACAACCGCCTTTCCATCCTCTTTATCAACATCCCCTACTACTCAAAGTTATCTCAGTCTACCTTAAGCATCCTCTACCCTGAAGTTAAAACCATCCATTTCATTTTCTCCCCACTCTTCAAAGGCCCACAAAACTTTCTTCCAATTTCTTGGATGTTTTCTTTGCAAATTCCTCTCCCTAGGAAAAAAATAAAAAATAACAAAACTTTCATTCACGTCCACTTCTGTATTCATCACTGTCTCCACATCAATTGATCTTCCAATTACATGAGCTTCATCCACAACACCATTTCCTCCTCAGCTGAGTCCTTGTCTTCAACAGCTTCAACTCCAATTTCAACATCCTCTCTTTAATAGTTTAGTTCTGTGTTTTCTTTTCCTATTGTAGACTTCAATCTTTAACAGCTTGGTTCTATTTATTTAGAAAATACTAAATGCCCAAGCAAAAGAAACCACAATATAAGCTTTCCACCAAATTGAACCTCAAAATTAATGTCTATCTCTAGCTTGAAGTAATTATACTAACTATTTCCATCAAGATATCGAATAACCAACTTTACAAGACAATAAAATTCTTCAGGTTCTAGAAATTTCATAGAGACACTGCTCTTTAAGTTTTGCTAGTAACCAATGCATTCCTACAGTCCTAACATAATTTGATAAAACAAAATACAAAGCCGATATTATATGTTTCTCCACATATAAACACTTATGCCAACAAAGTTTCCTTCTAAGATAAGCTAGGTTAGCAATTTGCCTCTTAGCAGGATGAGCATGGTCTTAACAAAGATTATGCACCCAATAAATAAATGGAGAAAAGACAATATCTATGCAGTAAAGTTTTTACCTGGAGGCAGGTCTCATTGGTGACTTCCAGAGCCTTGCACTGCTTGACCATTTGTTTGCTGCTGTTGCTGTTGTATCTGCAGAAGAAGACTAGCAGCAAACTGAAGTGTTGATTGGTATCTTTGGTTCTTATCTGCCTCACCCTCCAGTGTTCCATGACCAGCACCAGACAGAGTAGATTGTAGTTGCTGAAACTGATTTGGAAACTCCACATCTGTGTTGTCAGTTACTAATGAGGTGGGTGCTTGTGCTTGGGATATATTTGTACCCTGAACCTGAGTAGGTGAACCAACAGAGGGCTTAGGTTGCTGAACTGGAAAATGGAAAAAAAATAGTAGCATCAGTTGCACTTACCATCCCATAGCTCTTTGGAAGATTATGAGAAGAATCAAGTTGATACTGTTGGCTAGCCTGCTGAGGAATGGTATACTGCCCTCCTTGGGATGGGATCACAAAGTTACTCAGAGGTTTAGAAGAACTTACACCCTGCTGTGGCATGTGGAGAGCAGGACCTTGATTTTGAGTGCTACCAAGGATGGCCTGTGCAGAGTGGTCAGGCCCATTTGATGCATTTGCATATGCTGGAAATTGAGACAAAAGTTGTGACTGAGCACTAAATTGATGTCCCAACTGTTGGGAAGGATGACTTGTTTGATCTTCTCCTGATTGCTGAAAAGCACCAGTACCAACACCATGAAGGTCACTTCTCCATCCCTGGGATTGTATTGCTTTATCAGGTGTTACAGAAGCAGGAAACGAAGGCCGCGAAGCAGAAGATCCCAAGGGTAACTGAGCATTAGTTGAAGCTGAAGGTTGCATGCTAGTAGGTAGTAATGCAGCTAGAGTTGCAATGAGCTCAGGTGTTAGAGACACTCCAACTTGGGATGCTGTAGCAGGATTTCTGGCATAGTCCTGGGAAACAGACTGTGCCAAGTGAGACTCATCAGTAGTTGGTAAGAGAGCCTTGGAGGGTTGAGTTACCAAGTCTCCATGAGATGCCCTACTGTAATCCATTTGCAACATATGGTCCTCTTTCTGTGGAGTTAAACCATAATCTGTTTGCAAAGGAGGAAATTGTTGTCCTGCAACATACTGGGATGAAGGATTAGGCTGCTGGGGTTGTTGTATGGATGCACTACTTGGCATTTGTTGTGGCAACTTGAGAACCACTCCATAAAGGCGTTCAGGACCCAAGATGTTCAAAACTTTGGTTAAGAAATCTGATGGGGGCACTAAGAACAAAGTTGTTCCATCATCAAACTTAGTAACACCAGCACGATTTTTTGAACCCAGGTAACGAAGAAATTCTGTATAGGAAGCAAAATCCTCTTCACTATCTGGTAGAAAGAAAACAATGTCAAAGCCACTGGCCTCTGAGTAGTGCTTGGCGAGCATATCCAATCCTGTTCTTGCTGAGCAATTAACAACAGCAGGGCTGCAAAACAGGATGCAGGAAGTCAAGACTCCCATTAGAATAGGAAGAGAGGAGGGGAGTAACCCTAGCCATCCAATATCCAGAGGATCATCACAGTACTTGGAATGGTCAGTGGTCACAGACTCACAGTATGACAAAAGATAGGGAAAATAAGGTGGCCTTCGGGAGTCTAAAATGTTGTCACTTATGTCTGAATTAATCAGATAATTAATAATCTTCACTTTTCTGTCTTTGGTTATGTCTCTAATAGGACCAGTTAAATTTGAACTTTTGCTCTGAATCACCACTATCATTTATTAATTGTGCACTTAAGGGCCCCCTTCACTCATTAACCTTCTAATTTTTATAATGACAACATCCCTCATACTTATGTTTATAGAAAAGAAATTCCAAGAGCCATAGGACAGGGTGAACCAGTCCTGAACCGATTATTAATCAAGACAAAATCATAAACCCAGAACCATCCCAAATATTAATCAGAATAATCAGGTCTGAACCGATGGCAATTAGACCCAATTATACTGACATCTATTATTATCTATGTTAATAACAACTTGAAACTTCATTTTTTATAATATAACCTTAATAAAAATGATAGTGAAATGGTAAATTGTTTATATGTTAATAAATCAAGCGTTTTTAACCAAAATTATCTTATATATTATCTATCAATTTTACCCTTTTAGACATAAGATATAACACAAATTACAAGAAAACTAGGAAACCATTGACAGCACTAAATAGCCACTCGATCAACAAGATCTAAATACACTTTAGAGACATCAGACTTCATACTTCAAAATGCCACTTAAGTTCTTAGGTAGATGGTTAGGATAATCTGGTGTATAATTTCCCCTATTAGCTATGGCACCGGGACATGAAGCACAGGTTCCCACTCTATAAGAAACCAAAGATCAAAATATTGATACATCTGATACCAAAAGTTGGGTGTCACTGCATATTGATATGATCGATACTCTATATTGTTTATTTTTTTATTTTATAAGCATTAGAAGGATGCCTTCTACCATCCCCAAGTTTGGTATACCCATGCGTATATAGGGGTGTATCATTTCGATATTAAACATGAAATTATACCATGAGGTAGAAAGCCCATACGGTAGGGAGCAGATACACCACCACAGGTGTACCACATATTTGTGTAGGGAGCAGATAAAGACATCTACAGTCTACACATCCATGATAATAAAATAGCAACAATTATCAACAGAGTAAGTTTCAGGAAAGATTATTCTTACAGCTGTGAGTTTATCCCCTTTCCAATAGGAATACATCGAGCATGACAAACAGGAGTTCCACCTTTAGCAATAATGCCACGCCAACAGTAATCTTTTTCAAGAAGGCCCTGGTCAGGAGGCCCTCCAATTGGAATTCTTACACCAGATGGACTATGACGACCCTGGATTTGAACATTTGCAAGTGGAGTGCCTGTATCAAGCTGTGGCCCAAATCCATATGGCTGTTCTATAATACCCTGATTGTCCATCTTTCTCAAAGAAAAGGGAGCATCATCAATGGGAGGACCATCAATCCTTGACCTCTTAGCCTCTCTTTCAAATGGGTTAGTGTCAAATCCATCCCATGTACCAGGCAAAGGCCTAATGGGTGGCCACATACCTGGTGCAGGAGAAGGAAGCATGCCAGGTGCAGGTGGTGACAACCTTCTCCAGTTTGGGCCCATAGAATTATTAGGATTAGGATCTGGAAAATTATGGAGGGGCCCTGCCAAATCATTGAACTCAGGGCCTGAATGAAGTGAATCAAAACCACCTTGAGGACCAAAAGGCCTCATCATATTTGGACCAGGCATGGCAGTAGGAGGCAAAGGTCCAGGAAAGTTACTTGGTGTGATAGGACGATTATGACCAAATATATCTCCTGTTCCAGGTCCAAAAGAAGGTTCATTGAAGAACATATCTGGCCTAGCACCTTTATTTCCTGGATAGAATGCTGGGCTATCTTTACCAGGTGCTAATTCACTGCTTGAAAACAGTATCTGTATCCTAGGATCATTAAAAAGACGGCCTTGGAGACCTTCCTTTGCACGCCGAGCTTCATCTACACTTCTGAACTCTACAAATGAGTAATGCCTGGATGGAAAACTTTTGATTCTTTCAATTTCTCCAAACAGGATCATGGCATTATGAAGCATCTGCTCATCAACCTGAACTGAAGGAGGATATCCAATCCACAAAATATTGCTTGGTTGTCCTTCTCCTCTTCGGCCTCCTAGTTGTTGAGAAGGCTGTCAAAAATACAACATAAGAACATAGCAAATGGTCAAGCCACTTGGAAACAGTTCATACATGCCAAAATCAAAGTGGTAATCTCATAGAAAACAACTCCATGTATACTTGATTCAGAAGACTATCATGCATTGCAAATACACCCCCAAGGCCCCAAAGCCCAAGCAGCTGGTCTACAATCATCAATAAGCCAGTTCCTGAAAATAGTGAGCCTGGGCTCCTGCAAACAAAAACTCTGCACACATGGCGTCCTGACGCACATCAGGAATATCTCCCATACATGTATGTTAAATTTATATGGATGTTCCCAATGTGCAGCTGGATGCCCGTGCTTGCAGAGTGTGTGCAGAGATTTTTCTTGCAGGCGACCTGTCACAGAAGTAGTTATGTTGACTTCACTACTGAATGAAAAGTGGTAAACTGCACTACATACAATGCATCCAGCTAAATCATGTAATTTCTCCTAGATACATGACAACAACTTAAAATAACACAAGCACTTAAGGAGATAAAGTCAATGCAATTATAACAGCAGAAAAGATCCAACAGATGAAAATTACCTGATGCCTTGGGAAATTTTTCATGGAATCTGGTGGAATCCATGAATGTTCTGCAGATCCTGTGCTCCTTCTATGTCCGTCCCTTGATTCATGGGAGTCAGACCAATTTTCCTATTGATACCAGGATGAAAATCAAATTTCAACCAATTATTTTATAATTTATGTATACCATACATAAGTATTATGAAATTTCATGTTAATTATAGACTATTAAACCACAAATTAAGGGGGCACTGTACAGCTTTTTTTTTCAAAACAATAACAACTGCCACATCATACACATTGGCAAACACCCCTAAATCAGTAAACCACATAATAGCAACTTACACTTGACTTTCATAAATAACAACTATGAATTTTGAATGACCACCTAGCTCAAAGAAAAATAGACACGAGGGTTAAAAAGATCATCACCCAATCATGGTCCCAGATATCTGGGTCTTGGCCTCTTGGGAGGAGTAGACAGTATACAGCCCTAATGTTTGACCTGTTTTTTTGGTACAAAGTGGCTGGCCTCAGACTTGAACCCACATTCTCATGATTGCCAACCAGAGATTTTACCATTACACATAAGAATTAAGAGTCCTGATTTTTGGCTCTACATGCATACTCCTATCTGATTATAACCAGAAATAGGTGATACACATTCATATCAATATATAAAGGAAGCCTTGTCTGTAGTTACCTCAACTTTACATCTACACTGCCCACCTAGTTGATCAACTAGGTGATAGGCCTCCAAAACAATCACCTAGCTGACACCCAGGCAACATTTTAACAACATCACCGAGCAGAACATTTAAACCACCATATGTGCACCATTGTTGCAATTTCACACCAGAATCATTCTTGTCTGGTTTATGGGTTTATCAATAACCCCATTTTTTAACAACTTCATATAAGGCCTTCAGAATGAACTTTTATATCAGTAACATCATTGGCTTACCTTTCGTGAAGGTTGTGACCTCAGAAAGTCCACGCGAATTTGCTCACCACCTAAGCACTTCCCATTCATACTTTTCAAAGCCTCAGCAGCATCTTCTAATCTAAGATAGTCAACTAGTGCAGAATTGCGGTCCCTAAGGAATTTCAAGTCCTCAATTTTCCCAAACTTTAAAAATTCTTCTTCTAGCTGTTCCTTTGTAACAGATGAACTAATTCCACCTACCCACAAATGCTTACCAGGTTTAGCCTGCAAAAAGAAATTCCATAAGAACTCCAAAACAAACAAAGGCTAAAAATTTCATCTTTCTTTTAGTGACAATCTAGAAGCAATAAATCCCAATGACAATATATTGTTTAAATAAAAGAAACCCAACTAAAAAAAATCTGACCAGTTTCAGATTAGACAAAATGGGAATTTCAATGAAATGGTAATTTTCTAATCCCTATTACAAAATTGTGGCACATTTTAATAGGCATGAGCATGGAACAGATACATACACACATGTCTACACAGATTATAGCATATAAGAATAGCATCGGCACAAAAACATAAGCATATAAAACCTGACATATTACACTCATTAATGAGATAAGAATTTTAGCATTATTTTCCTCAATGGGTGAAGTTCAATTTAATTTTCTACATTTATTTTGTTTCTCTTTATCATAAAATCTTCTACTAATCCCCTTTCTTTTTCCATTGGTCAAATACTTAGTTAATATTGATTGTGCATCAGGTGAACATTTGACTTTTGCTTTTTGTTTTTCTTAAGACCTAAAGATAGATTGGAACTTCTGAACAGACAAGAAGAATGATGTTGCAATCTAGATTTAACAACAAAACCCTACATAAGGCATACTCTGTTTCATAGTTGCCAAGGTGTCACCTAGGCGCCCTTGGCTGGGCGCCTCGCCCAAACGCCTTGACTTTTAGCAATTAGGCGCCCTTCTAGGCGACTGGGTGCCCGCCTAGGCAACAAAAATGACAAGGTGGGCGCCTTTTATGGTATCATTTAGAATTGCTGTATCATACTAATGTATGTATTAATACATTTCATTTTATGTTATATATATATATATATATAAATATATATATATATAACATACAAATGCATAAATACATACAAAATAATACAAAATATAAGGTTTTGCGCTCTACAGATTTGCATTTGTACTCCTTCCAAACTCAGCCTAAAAGAAAAGGTTACATCCTAACACCCTTGGTTGTCAAGATGACACACCAAACACATCAAGTACATTAATAGTTGTCAAGGCGATGCCTAGGCGACAAGGCTCCCTTTGAGGCTCGCCTCGCCTAATCACCAAGCAGTTTTCTACTTCCTACTATAAAATACTTTTTTATTCATTCTTTCTTGAGATTATAATTATAAAATAGACATTATTAAACTAAAATAATCATTTCGTGTGTTTATATACTATTTTCTTTTTATTACTTTCTTATTTATTAGGGTTTAATCAACACAAACATTGCTAAATGCTGTATTGAAACCTCAAAGACTTAAAAACCTGAACCAATAAGTAAGGAAGAACTTAAAATTTTATCTAATCAGCACATTTTCCTCTTCCATATATTCTTCTTCTACTACTACTACTACCAATACTTTTTATTTTCTTCTTTTCCTATAACAAAAATAAGGGTTCAGCCCCTGTATTTTTTGAATTTTATTTTCCTTCTTCCTTTTCCTCTCATGAATATGTTGATTTTCTATACTTTAATATGAAATTTATACTATTTTATGAAAATCATGAACAATTATTAAAGAAATATGATTATGGTACCTAGGGAGCTACCCTAGGATCTATGTTTTTAACATAAAAAATCCATCGCCTAGGCGACAAGGTGCCCCCCAGTCGACTAGCCTCGCCTTGGCGCCTTCAAAACTATGAGTACATACTTCAAGTACATGCTCAAAACATTAAACTGAAAAGGCTTCTACATTACAAGGCTGTAAGTCAAGGGAATTCCACAAATTTTCCAATAAATCAGCTTTGGAAACTTGATCAAAATCTGGGAGACGGAGAACCCACTCTGATATCGGATTGGACACTGTAGCAACCATGTATTCTATATTGTTTGACCTGTTCTCGAAAACTCTTCTGTTTCTCTCCCTCCAAGTAGACCAATACTGTAAAAGGAACACAACTCCAAATAATCCTGGCTTTCTTACTTCCTCTAAACTTTGGCAACAATGAGGATATTTCTGCTGGAGCTGATGGATGGAAACCACCCATCCCAAATAGAAAAGAGAAGAAACTCCATATGAAGCTTGCTATGCTGCATGAGAAGAACAAATGGAAGACTGTTTCTTCCTCCTGATTGCACAAAAAACACCAACTGGCCAGATGAAATCCCCTCAATTTCAGGTGATCAGAGGTGAGAATGCTATCATGTGCCACCAACCAGGCAAAAGCTTCTACCCTTGGAGGTACTGGGTTCCCCCATACTCCTTTTATCTGATCTGAACCCCTTTCTTCTTTGATTAATGCTTTGTAGAACGACTTGACTGTGAATCTGCCTTGCATTCTTTCCACTAGAGACCATCTTCTATATCTCTAGAAATGCTGGTTCCTTTTAACTTTTCCAGCAGTAGTACACACTCTTCCACTTCTTGGTCTAATAGAGGCCTTCTCAAGTCTGAACTTCAGATTCCAGATCAATTGCTCCCCTCTCCACTCATAACATTGGGCTATATTAAGACTTGTTGTTCTGTTAACTTGTATAATCTCGGACACACCTCACTTAACTTCCCTATTTCCAACCACTCATCCTCCCAAAACCTCACCCTAGAGCCTTCCCCTACTTTAAACTTGACCAAGCTTCTGAAATTTTGTTTGAAACTTATGATTCCTTTCCAAACACTCACCCCATAGGAACTCCTCACTTCCCTTGGTTCCCACCCAAATCTTATCACACCATACTTCCCAACCACCACCCTTCTCCATAAAGCCTCCTTCTCTCTCCCTTGCCCAAACCTCCACAACCATGTCCCTAGAAGTGCTTTGTTTATTAGCTTTACCCTCCTCAGCCCCAAACCTCCCCCCTCATTTGGCTTGCACACCTTTTCCCACTTGACCAAGTGATATTTTTTAGCTCCCCCAACCCCTTCCCATAAAACATCTCTTTGAATTTTCTCAATCTTCATAGCCACTTCATTAGGAACTCTTAGCAAGGAAAGGTAATAGGTGGTAAGCTAACCAAGACACTCTTTATGAGTGTAATTCTCCCACCCAAAGATAGGTACTTAGCCTTCCATCTGTCCAATCTCTTCTCTACTTATTATAGTAGTATTATTTTTGAAAATAATGAATTTAATATATGTAAAAGATTTTTATCTTTTAGATGTGATGATTTGCCACATTTTTAGAGGAAATTTAATGTCCTTAATAAAGAGAATTGCTATTTTTCACTTAATATACATGCAGAATGGTATATAAAACTAGGGAACTAACCAAAAGTTAGTTTTTTATATTATAAAATTTTTATCACCTAGGCAGGCACCCAGGCAACTAGGCAACCCAATGTCACCCAGAATTGCCTAGACGCCTTGAAAACTATGCTCTGTTTCAAGAAATCTTGGAGGTTCCAATACAGCATGTCATACTCAAATGCCAAACCCACTTTTCGTATAGAGACTAACATAATGCAAATTATGTTACAAAGAACATTCTTTTTATAGACATACCAACAAAACATCCAGATCATCTTAAAATGATACCTCAAAATGAATGAAAAAGGGTATGGAACAATTCCATTTTTTTGGGAGGCATTCCATACATGTCCTTATCATGTAACTGAAGTCCAAGGATGTTATTCATTCATACAAACGTACCATGGTATACTACTGAACTCAATGTGGTGAAATAATATGGAATTAGAGGAGAAAATACATCTAAACACATTTAGAGCACAATTTTTAAGGTACCAAGAAGAAGCCAGGCAACCAGGGAGCACTTAGCCGCCTAGGTGATTAGGCGGTTTTGGGGGATAACCACTTCCAACCCTCATTAGGAGTGATGAGGGTTGCATTTGTTGGTGATATTTTGAGAAGTTTAATGTGGTTAAAAAGGTTGTTTCATGGTTAGATATTTTAGAAATTCATTTTCTAAAAGATGATATGGGCTTTGAACATGGTACATGATTCTGTATAAAAAAGAGGTAGTTTCGAATTTCCTTAGCCTTCCTGTTAATCCCTTGGGTCTGAATTGGGACTTTGGCTTTCATAGAGGGTTAAAGGAGGAAGAGTGTGCTGCTGTGACTGAGTTTTTGCTTTCTCTTGATAATATCTGTTTGGACCCCCTTTCCCAAATAGACAGGTGTGGTCTCCTAACCCTAAGGGATTCTTTTTGTGTACTTCCTTTTTCAAGTCTTTTTATCAATCTCCTAACCCTCAAGCATTTCTCGTCAAGGAAGTCTGGTGTAGGTCTATTCCCCCTAAAGCTAATGCTCTTTGTTGGGAAGTTTTATATGGGAAAGTTTACCTTGGATAAACTGCAAAAGAGAAGACCTGATCAATGCTTGTCCCCTTACCGGTACACTCTTTGCAAATCTAGTGGAGAGGATTGCTATCACTTATTTATTTATTTCTCTTTTTTTCTGCTGAACTGTGGGATTGGTTTTCTCTCTTTGTTTGGGTGCAGGTGGAATCTCCCTTCAAAGTTATGTTTGTTATTTGACCCATCTACTTTTGTGTGGGCCAAAAAAGAGGAAGAATAATGCGGAGGTTTACAAGAACAGCTTTGAATTGGTCTATTTGGAAAGAGAGAAATGCAAGAATTTTTCAGGAAAAGGAAAGAAGTGCACAAGAAATTAAGGAGTGTGTGATGAGTGATGACTAGAATGATACATTGGTTAAAAAGCATGGACTGTTTGCACCAGTTTTCCTTAGATGATTTTTCGAGAAACTGGAGGGAGGTGGAAAATAGTAGTTCCCAGAAGGTTAGAACACATTTAGATTGGACACCACCTCCAAAAGAGTGCTTAAAACTGAATTTCAGTGGAAGCAGTCAAGGAAATCCAGGCCAGTCTGGTGTAGGTAGTAGGGTGGTGAGAAACAAGGATGGGAACATCTTGGCAGTTTTCTCGGGAACGGTGGAGAAGGAGATTCTACTAGGGCAGAACTGCTTGCTACATTAGAAGGAATTTGGATTGCTCACCAGCTTAGCCTAGTAAATTTGATAATAGAAGGAGATTCCAAGGTGGTGGTGGGATGGCTGCAAAACCAAGAT